AAAGCGATAATATCAATAATCACAGTAAAAGATAACAGTTTTATAATACTAAAACAAATAATTACCTTAATGCACTCTAATAACTATCATGATGGAAATAGAAAAGGAAGTTTTTTTCTTAACAAGTTTAACTACTCTTAACCTTTTTTTTTTTACAAATATCGCTACAGCGGTTATGTTCATGGATACTTTTTTAGTAGACATGAATCATAAGTCGATTTCCTTGAGAAGATGATAACTTTACAAAAACCCTTCTACCTACACATTATTTATGCATTTTGGGTTAAAATATACTTAACGACCGCGCAATAATTTTAAAGATATTTTAAGTTATACGTCTACACTGTTTTAGTCATTCATGTTAGATTAAAGCATTCTTATAATCTGAAAGGCTCAATTATTAAGATCATCGAGTATCAGAAGTTTAATGATCGTTAGATTAATTACTTTTTAACTAAAAAGCTAAAAACGACTCGCTTCCAAGTGTTGCCAATAAACTTTAAGTCGGGTTATAAAGAAACGTTACGGCTTTGTTTGAATGATGAACACTGACATTTTCTTACAACACTCAACTAGGCGTATCAGCTGGTTGCTACAAGATACAAGGTCTGGCGAAGGGCGCAACGTTTATCAGAGAGCAGATCCTTAAGAATCGTAAGGCAGTAGCTTTGCTTGATATCTGTGTTCGCGAACCTCAAAATATAATTTTTAACAACAAATTACCACCGATCTAAGGCATATTGAAGTTCATGAGTTTTCAGTAATAAAATGCACAGTCTACGGCCCCGGTTGCCAGAAGAAGAGCCAATGCATTCAACTAATTATTATTTATAAATCTAGAATGACTCCTATAACTGGTTTGAAGGGAAGATAATGTTTCAATCTTTATGGCGGATATCTTAAAGTCTCCCTCCAGTCTGTTTTAGTGGCTCTGTCCTACATCGTTCAAAGATATCGGATACTAATACAGATTTGTATCTTAGTAACCGAACGTACACTTAATAACTTAAATACCATTTTATAATTTTTCTCACGGCCCTATATAAACCTTATTTCTCTTCTTTTCAATGAATTATTTCTACGCCTCAAGCCCATCTACAAGAGAATAATATAAGTTTGAAACCCTACGGCTTATAAGAGATACGAATATATCAAAGTAAGCAGCGTATATGAGACTTGGGCTGTATGAAAAATTTGTGAGGGTGGGGGTTAAAGATGCCACCATTAAAATTCGAAAAAGAGAGTAGCGTCGGTGTGAATCGAATTCACGACCTTGAGTTTGCGAGTCAATGCTCTTAACTACTGAGCTACCAAGACAACTCTCGATCCCAGTATGATGGTTTTACATGTTTAACCTGTCAGACTGTAGCCATTTTCTGTACGCAATAATGATTACTTGACCTTCTCAAATAATAGGTATGAGTACAATTTAGACCCCAAAACGAAAGGTACTGAAGGAAAAGTTTGATGCCAGCAACGCGGAAAATTAGCTCGTATATTAGAGATGTTGCAATTAAAAAGCTCGTAGATATACCTTTTGGAAACCAGTTTTTAAGTTTGACATTCGATCTTTAAATATTTACTAACTTCTTCTTTGTTAAATTGTGCAGTTAAGATGGGTATTAGTATAAAGTTAAAAGTGCTAACTTCAGATAAAGGTACGTGCGCATCAAGCTTCTTGGATTTGGTTCTCAGTGTGAGCGTGCGAGCCGCGGTTCCACCTTTAATAAAGTTCTTGTCTTATATCTATTATTAATTATTAAGGTTTAATTTATCCTAAGATTGAGGGCGAATACAACAAAAGTTATATATGAAAAGGGAAATGATAATTAACGTTGCCACGACAACTCGTGAAGTAACCTAGCGCCCCAATCGCTTATCTGCCGACGTCATCATCTTTTCTGAGGCAAACTTGCGCTTAATCGAGTGCACAGATGCAAAAGAAAGAAACCAATGGCCCATTTCAACAATAAATGGGAGGCCAAGCTACCCTATATATCAGATTCTTGTAGAGTCTCTCCTTTTAGAATTTGTTAAAAGGATCAAAAATCGGAGACTTGTCGCAACTTCCCCTTTTTAAAAGATAAATAGTGACCGAGAGTGATAGAGACAAAGCAGGGCTTTTCGGTAATCTCCTTGCCACCCAAAAGCGCCAGCTGCTCTCTTAACTGCCAATAGTGCGCTCCCTCAGCTGAGCTTACCCTCTACGTACCGCTTGAGCTAGTTAGTGTTGGCGAAATACAAGCGCTTGTCCTATATGGAGCCCCTAATAAGATACCGAAGAAAATTGCTTTAACGGGGATGTATTATTTGTACCTCTTATTAAAATCCGCGATGGTCCTTGGCATATTTCCGATCAGATGGGAGATGACGATCGTTGTAATGATACCAAGGACACTTAATTCGGAATAAGCAACTTGCAAGTACCGACCCATTTGCCTCTTGTCAGCTGTCGGCAGAGTGGGTGAGGCTGTTTTAAAGAGGTCGTTGACTCTCGGGACGCCTTGTCAGAGTTTCATCTTGGATTTCGACAAGAGCTCTCTCTCACTCTGTGGAGCCTCCCCTTAACTGAATGGCTCCTTGCACCTTTTAACATTAAGAACGCAACAGCCCTGTCTTCCATAACGTTGAAAAAGCATTTGATCAACTTTGACATGAAGGTCTGCTCCAAAAACTGCGCTCGTTATTCGTTCCTCCTGGCCTTCAAACGTTGTAGTCATATCTCAGCGTTTTTAGCGTGCGCAAAGAGATGCGCAGCCACCTTGCGATCTCTAACAGCAGGGGTCCTTCAGGGTTAAAATCTCGCCTTCTTTTCCAATTTATATGAGCGCCTTGCCCTTGCTGTCAACTCCACACACATGAATCCCTTTTTACGCCGATGATATGGCTATTTCCTCGTCGTGCGAATTCTTCCGCCTTGCTATGCAAGCATCTACAGGGTTATCTTGAAGCCCTTGCTGACTGGCGCCATAATTGGAAAGATGCTATAAATTGCGATGAAGAACCAAGCGCTTTTAATTACCAGAAAACGAGTCCCTTTGCTGGTCCCCTTAACCTTGGATAGCGTAAAAATATGGCGGTGTTCTTAAGAAAAATATCTCAGTTCTCATTGACAAGTTTACCTGGCAGTCACATGTGGGCTATGTATTGACGAAGGTCAAGGCTGCAACTAAGACGCTTTACCCTTTACTATGTGGAAATAGCAAGCTTTCTCTGCGAAACTAACGGAAATTGTATAGGTCTTACATCCAGCCAATAATGAAACGCGTTTGCTGATTGGACCTACGATTCCACTGCAATAGGGACGGCCATTCGTGCGAGTAAACAAATTGCTGCGCATGATGACAGATGCGCCGTGGTTTGTGCGCAGAAGTTCTTCACCGGGACCTTCTAACAAAAGAAGAACAATGCTAATACGTTGAACCTCTCAAAAATTAAAGAATTATCACATATATCCCAACCCTTATTTTGGAAGTTTTTTTAAAAAAAAACTATAAAAAGGCTTATCTTTTCTTTTTTTTTTTTTTGTCACTTTCAGCTGGACCCCTTGGACATCGTCTTTCCACGCAATGGCAATTCCCTTTACGACAACCTAGGAGGCGCACTAATCGACTGGTGGGGAGAGGACTTATTGGCGAGTCATTAGAAGAGGAGCGACATCTCGGCCCACGTGACGCGCGTAAGCGCTAGTTTTTCTATGTTAATTTTAACACACCGATTAAAGTTATGTCTGCGATCATTCCTGACTGAGATCTCGAGCAATCGAATTAGTTGAGTCGATCGAGCACCAGGGACAGTCATCTGGGGTTTGCAACTCTTTACTCGAAGAGCTACACCAGGAGTTTCAATAAATGTTTGTAGTGCTTTATAAAGCGTTATTGATGTCAGCAGTGAGGCCAACTTCAAGAATATTTCGAGAAAAAGCCATACTTTGGCGGCAATTTAGTGGTATAAATGGTATTTATCTAATTTTAAGCATACTTTATTTATATTGGAGTCATAGGCCAAAAATTTACTGTAGTTTTGTATTTTTGCTCTCACTGAGCAAGATAGGGATGTAACGCCAGTAGCTTTTTTTTAGTATTATACTTGTAATATTTTTATTATGTGTCGTACGTACGTAAACTTTTAAATAACCACAGCCGTTTAGGAAGTTAAGTTAAACAAAATAAGTTATTAAAAGGTATTTATATTAAAACTATTATTCTCCCAGTAAGAAAGCTAAGAGTTTTTCTAAATAAAAATTTAGCTTTTTTTCTACTTTTAAAAAGGCTCTTTACTTAAGCTTGGAATTATTTTATTCATTTCCCTTTTAAGGTTTCTATAATATGTCTATTGTTTAAAACCGTAAGGATTACTGTATTAGGTCACTCTCTTATAAGTTAAGTTTAAAAGAACTTTATTTACTAAGCAACCTCACCTTTGCTTAAGTTGCTTTCTTGGTTAAAAATACTTATTTATAAGAAATACTTAAATAATTGTCGCTGTGCTTTAGAAGCTTTTTAATATGAAATGCTTGAACTTTTAATAGAAAAATCGCCTCTTAGTCGATATGAGGCTAACGTAAAAGCCGGGATTTTAAAAGAAGATAATCTTCAAAAGAGTAAGCCTTTTTAATCTAAAAGTTCTTAATTTTAAATTATTTGCGAGTTTTACTCTACTGTTTATGCCAAGCAGATTGGGGCTCGTTTCTAACATATATTTAAACCTTCGCGCATAGGAATAGTGCACAAGCTTGAAAATCTTTATGAGGCCTGCGAACGATTTGAACGCTCTGGAAGCCTGCGAAGGGCCCTTTACAAGCTGCTGTCTGTTCGTATACTTTTGTCTTTCTAGCATCCTAGTGCTATGACCCCGACTCAGTTGATACCGAAAACGGCGATAAGTCGGAACACTCCACGTGGTTTATACTTATATGGAAGCGTAGGTCTGCGTTTACCGCTGGGCACTTAAAGCGGAATATCTAATAAAAGATTCCTAGGGCAGGCTGCGGAAAAACAATGCTATTGGACCTTTTCTTCGAGTCCATAAGTACTGCTCGCAAAAGACGCGTGCACTTCCACGAGTTTATGAAGGACTTCCACACTCGTAATAAATTCTACATTGCATGTGTCACAAAAGGGATTGTATTGGCCGCTTTGAGGGATGCATGAGACCACGAGGGTGCAGAGGGACGGCGAAGATCCCGTAGCTTCGGTGGCTGAACAGATAATTTCAGAGTCATGGGTCTTGTGTTTTGATGAATTTCAGGTTGGGCCATGTTTTTCCTTAAAGATAATTCATCTCAATTCTATTAAATTCGCGGAGGTGACAGACATAGTCGATGCTGTTGTTCTTAAGAGACTTTTCTTTCATTTATTTTCAAGGGGGGTCATCCTAGTATCCACGTCGAACCGATCACCAGACGGTGTTGTTATTTAAGTTTTCGTTATCGCTAGTTTTATTTTTCTGTTAGACCTTTACCTTCATGGCCTACAGCGAGCCCTGTTTCTTCCTTTCATCGAACTTTTGAAAACTAAATGCGATGTATACTGTATGAATAGCAACAAGGACTATCGCCTACAGGGTTCACTACCAAATATTTGGTTTTTGTTAACGTTGCCCTACTTTGTCCTCTTTCTTTTTATGCAGAGAAGCTGCAAGTCCAATGTTATTACTGGTTAGTCATTGTTTTTACAAATGTTTTTACTTTTCTCTTATGACAACCGTTTGTAAACTTTAATGAAAAGTCCTAACAACGTTGAAAATAATCTTAAAATCGACAAACTATATAAGCGGTTAACTGGGAAACCAATAACAGGTTTCCAATAATCGCTATAATAAAGTGAATTTTGCAATATATTTATATACTTAAAGAATCTCAAGTTGTCACACTGACTGTTTACGGCCGAGCAATGAAAGTTTATAGGTTCATCTTGTTCTTATACTATATTTTATTCATTAATATTATTATTATAGGGCTATGAATAGCATATGTCTCTTCACTTTTTTCGAGTTAATCGCACAGGTTTTCATGCATAATTATTTTAGCTCTATTACAGTAACTATTATTGTAAACTAGCCTCACAGTGCCGCTGATTATTTGGAACTTTGTAAGAACTTTGATGTGATTTTTCTAAAAGATATTCCAAAGCTGCGTTACTATCAAAGAATTGAAGCTAGACGATTTATAAACTTGATAGACACCATCTATGACGCCAGGGTTGCTTAGCAATCCAAAAAAAATATTTTTACTTTGCATTGTTAATTTCTTTTTGTTTCCAGCGAATGTTGATTTGTAGCTGTGAAGTCGCGCCGCAGTATATTTTTTCTGGTTTTAAACTAATTAAGATATAAGCATTTTAAATATATTTTTGCTTGCTTAACATAAAGATCTAATTACTGCCGGTTTGAAAAATGACCCAAGCGAGCAGGACCGTCTTTTAATCGACGATTTAGGACTCTGTCAAGTTTTTTATTTATAAGTGCTACTGTTTATTATACTGTCTTGCTTTTTGTCAACCTCTAGGGAACTGCAACGTCCACCGTCTTTACTGGTTAATTATAATTTACTTAGCAGGTTTAATTAGTATTTCTAAATATTTTTAAGGGGAAGATGAAATATTTGCTGCGGAGAGGTGCGTTTCCAGGTTAGTTGAATTGCACTCTCAGGATTATTGGAAGAGTTACTTAGTGCAC